TGTCCTGTTGCCACCTTCCTAGAGGCCCTGACCTGCCCTCTGCCCTCCAGCGAGAAGGCACTGCAGAGCAACCATTTTGAACTGAGCTTGCGCACCGAGGCCACGCAGGGGCTGGTGCTCTGGAGTGGCAAGGCCACGGAGCGGGCGGACTACGTGGCACTGGCCATTGTGGACGGCCACCTGCAGCTGAGCTACAACCTGGGCTCCCAGCCCGTGGTGCTGCGTTCCACCGTGCCCGTCAACACCAACCGCTGGTTGCGGGTCGTGGCACATAGGTGAGTAGGGAACCTAGCGTGCCGAGAATAGTGGTGAGGGCTGCCCACACTTGCCCAGCTGGGCTGTGTCCAGCCACTTATGGCCGGGGGTCAGGGAGGACACGCCTTGCGGCCTGAGCTGAGGTCGCTGCCAGTGGGAGGAGGAAGGGCCGAGAAGATGCAGGAGAAGCAGTGATGAGTTTCCAGGTCTGAAAGGCATCCCGGCCCTGCCCAGAGCCTGCTGGGGGTCGCTCTGGTCCGAGCCTGGCCGTCGCCTCCAGCAAAGCTTGAGCTGCGGGAATGTCCCCCGCCTTGGCTCCCAGTGCCCTCCTTGGGGTCAAGGCCGCCCCATCCTTGCCCCCAGGGGTGACACCTGGGAGGTCCCCCAGGCTGAGGCACCTGCAGGGCATAGGAAGGATGCAGGGTTTCCAGTCTAGAAGAGGCAGAGGGAGCTCTGGGCCCTGATGGTCTCCCCCTGCCTGTACCCCCAGGGAGCAGAGGGAAGGTTCCCTGCAGGTGGGTAACGAGGCCCCTGTGACCGGCTCCTCCCCGCTGGGCGCCACGCAGCTGGACACTGATGGAGCCCTGTGGCTTGGTGAGTATTTTGGGGAGACTAGGGAGGGATACCCAAGGGTCTCATAATATCAAGGGACAGACTCCACCCCCCAGGGCCCACCTTGAATCAGGCTGCATGTGAGCCGGCGGGCTGGGCTCTCTCTTCTCCCGCTGTAGCCCCTGCAGTTCCCAGTGCCGTGGGGCCAGGAGGCGGGGGCCCAGGTGTGGTCCCCCTGCTGGTCACTTGCTTGTTGGGGTGCCCGTGGGTCCCTCTGCCCATCAGCATCACTGAGTCACAGCCGGGTGACTCCCACTGTCTGTGCTGCAGGGGGCCTGCCGGAGCTGCCTGTGGGCCCAGCACTGCCCAAGGCCTACGGCACGGGCTTCGTGGGCTGCCTGCGGGACGTGGTGGTGGGCCAGCGCCCGCTGCACCTACTGGAGGACGCCATCACCAAACCAGAGCTGCAGCCCTGCCCCGCCCCATGAGCTGGCACCAGAGCCCCACGCCCACTGTAATTATTTTCTATTTTTGTAAACTTGTCGCTTTTTGATATGATTTTCTTGCCTGAGTGTTGGCCGGAGGGACTGCTGGCCCGGCCTCCCTTCCGTCCAGGCAGCCGTGCTGCAGACAGACCTGGTGCCGAGGGACGGACAGGAAAGGTGGCATCGTGGAGGGCTTGGCGTGGACGGCAGCCTCAGGACACACACCTCTGCCTCAGGGCGCTGAGCCCCCCCTTGCACTGCGACTCCCCCACGGTGTCCCCGCCAGGAAGCAGCCCCGGCCCCTGAATTACCCTCGCTCTGTCAGGTGGGGCTTGCGTCCCGGAGAGGAAGGGGTGGCTGAGGTCTGAGGGGGCCCTTCCTCCGGGTGCCCCCACAGGGCCTTTGCAAGCCCTCATTTGAGCTCCTCCTTCCTGTGTGTGCTGTGGGCCCTGCCTTGGCCTCCTATGCCAATACTGTGACTTCGAAACAATGTTACTGCTGGGCTGCTCTGCATCCCTCCCCGTGCTGCCTGAACCAGCCCCAGGCTGCTGAGAAGCAGAGGCCAGACCAGGGCCGGTCTAGGTGCCCTGACCCTCAGCTGGCCCTGCCCAGCCACCCTGGATGCGGCCGTGCCCCTCTGCCACACCCCAGGCCCTGTGAGGGGCTATCGAGGGGAACTCACTGTGGGGTGCAGTTGACCTCTGCTGCTTGCCTGGGTATCTGGGTCTGGCCACCGGCCGTGTTCTTCGTGTATTGATTTTATTTGACCCCTGGAGTGGTGGGTCTCATCTTTCCCGTCTCGCCTGAGAGCAGCTGAGGGCTGCCTCACTGCAAACCCTCCCCACAGCATCAGTGACAGTCATCCTTGTCTCAGAACGACCAGGGGCCAGCCAGTGTCTGACCAAGGTCAAGGGGCAGGTGCAGGGGTGGCAGGGATGGCTCCGAAGCCAGAAATGCCTTAAACTGCAACGTCCCGTCCCTTCCCCACCCCCATCCCATCCCCACCCCCAGCCCCAGCCCTCGCCCAGTCCTCCTAGGAGCAGGACCCGATGAAGCGGGCGGCAGGGAAGCTGGGCGCCCTGTTACTAACTCTAGTACATTTCTGTGTCGATCGCTGTGAAATAAAGTCTGAAAACTTTAAAAGCATTGCTTGTGTCCGTCCTCACCAGCGCCCTGGCCTGGCTTGTGTCCGTCCTCGCCAGCACCCTGGCCTGGTGGCTTCTTGCTCAGCTTTGTGGTGGGAGCACAGACTTGGAGCTCCCTTGGGTGGCCCTGGATGGAGCCAGGCCCTGCACAGGGGCTCCTTGTGGCTGATGAGGCCCTGAGTGGGGAGCACACACCGCGGAGCACTGTGGGGGGCGGGGCCGTGGAGGCAGGAGGCTCTCCAGCGTGCACGTGTGGGTGTGTGTGCCTGCACACGTAATTGGCCCACGTCTGTGTCAGAACACAGGGCTGGGAGGAGGCTGCATCCAGGGCTGGAAAGGCCTGGGGGAGCCAGGGTGTGTGGGGCTGCTGGGCAGCCTTTTCACTGGCCCAGGTGTGCAGCGCCAACCCTTGGCATTGCTGGCAGCCTGTAACCCCCAGCGTAGTTTGGCTCCTGGACTCCCTCTAACCTGCTTCCTAAATTAGTGTGTGGGTGAGAGCCCTGCAGAAGCTGAATCTCAGTGAAGAGCGCCGTGGGTCACACCTGTAATCTTAGCACTTTGGGAGGCCGAGGCTGGAGGATCGCTTGAGGCCAGGAGTTTGAGACCAGCTTGGGCAACATAGTGAGATCACATCTCTGCAAAAAATTTTCTTTAATTAGCCAGGCGTGGTGGTACACACCTATAGCTCCAGCTACTCGGGAGGCTGAGGCAGGAGGATCACTTGAATCCAGGAGGTTGAGGCAGCAGTGAGCTGTGATTGCACCACTGCGCTCCATCCTGGGTGACAGAGCGAGAACCTGTCTAAAAAACAAAGAGCTGGCATCCAGCACCGGCAGATGTGAGCCCTGGGGAGAAGCAGGGGAAGAAGGGGTGGGGTGTGTGACCAGCTGGGTGGCCTTTGCAAAGTGCTGGCTCTTATGAAAAATAACTAAGTGTACTTTTCTATTCTGTATTAATGATTAAAAAAAAAAAAAAAGGCCGGGTGCGGTGGCTCACACCTTGTAATCCCAGCACTCTGGGAGGCCGAGGCGGGTGGATCACCTGAGGTCAGGAGTTCAAGACCAGCCTGGCCAACATGGTGAAACCCCATCTCTACTAAAAACACAAAAATTAGCCGAGAGTGGTGGCGCATGCCTGTAATCCCAGCTACTCGGGAAGCTGAGGCACGAGAATCGCTTGAACCCGGGAGGCGGAGGTTGCAGTGAGCTGAGATCGTGCCACTGCACTCCATCGTGGGCGACAGAGCGTGACTCCATTTCAAAAAAAGAAAAAGAAGATAATGCAAGTTCCACACCCAGGCGGTCCCATGAGTCTGGGTGTTTGCTTTCTGAGCCTTTCCTCACTCGGTCCTCTGGGGACGCGCTGAACGACCCTGTGTGCCTGGCAGGTGTCAGGGAGGAGAAAGTCCAGGAGTGGTGGCCACACACAGGTCATTGACGGTGGGGGGCCAGGGTGGGGGCAGACCAACTTTGGGCTCCAGGAAAGGTCCAGGGAAAACATGCCCAAACCCAGACCCCAAGCATGAGCGGGGAAGGGCAGGTGAGGAGGCCCGAGGGGGGGCATGTGGTGCGGGTCCACTGGATGGTGTGCAGGGCCCTGTGTCTTGACGAAGGGAGCTTTCAGCAGAAGCGGAGGCGTAGGAGTGGCCAGAGGCCGGCGTGCAGGACAGAGGCCACAGATCAGAGCGGCAGGGGCTGGACGCAGATGGGCAGGGCAGGTCCAGCGGGGCTGCGTGGGCCTGGGGAAGAGGGCTGGGGGCGCTGCCTGATGAGATGTGGGAGGCTCCCGGAGGGCTCCAAGCAGGAGAACACCAGAATTCACGAGGACGCCGCCGGCTGGGACAGGGTGCTCGGCTGCAGGGGGAGCAGAGGGAGGGATTTGAGGGAGAATGGGTGGGTCGAGGGGGGTCAGAAGAGGCGCTCAGTGAGGTGGAGACGGAGCTGCAGGCACCGAAGCTTTGCTTGGATTCGCCCTGATGCGTCTGGAGGGAGGGCCACCCTGGGGAAGCTAGGGTACCCTGAGTGGGGTCCAGGGGGCCGAGGGGTGCCAGGCAGGGAGAGGCTGGGCTGAAGCCTGGCGCAGGTGCCCCTGCTGGGTGTTGCCTAGCAGGGGAGAAAAAGCTCCGACGCCAGAAATGAAGGAGGGAGGAGGACCTCGGAGGGGAGGAAGAGGAGGCGCAGAACCAGGAGACGGAGTTTTGGGGGAACAACCGCTGCGGAGCGCGCAGGACCCAGAGGACTCAAAGGGGACCTGGAGGGTGACGAGGCCTTCGTGGCCGGGGGAGGAAACGCGCGGGCGGAGAGGCGCTGGTGGGTCCCAGGCTGGAGGCTGTGGGTCTGAGAGACTTCGGAAGCCCAGGGCAGCCCGGGGCCACGCCTGAAAACGAGGGCAGCTGAGCGCAGGCCAGGGAGAGGCGCCTGCGTCCGGGACCGGCCGCGGTGGGAGCTAGACTCGCGAAACCGGCGGGCCTGAGGCTGGGACCTGCGCGGGGGCGGACGCGGCACAGCCGGGGGGGCGGGTCCCGCGGGCCCCGCCCCGCCCCGCCCCGCCACGCCACGCCCCCCAGCCTGGAGCCCCGGCCCCGGTCCGCAGAGGAGACGGCCCCGGAAAAACCAGAGGGTCTTGGAAGGGAGCGCGGGACGGAGTCGGCTGCAGCGTCCGCGACCCGCGACCCGCGACCTGCGACCCGGCTACCCGCGGACCCGGCTCTGAGGCGGGGACGACCGGAGCTTCCGCCCGCAGCCCAACCTCCCAGGCGCCCGGCAAGACTGGCTGGCGCGGACCCTTTAAGGAAGCCGGGGGCGTGGCGTCGGGGCGTGGCCCGGGGCGGGGATTCAGGGGCGGGGCCCGGGCGGGGCCTTCGCGAAGCTGCCAGAGGGTGCGGCCCCCGAGCGCCCGCGAGCCGGGCGGTGAGACATGGCCTCGTGCAGGTGAGTCTGGCGCGCGGCGGCCCAGAATCCTGGACCCCAGGAAAAGCGCCTACGGCCTCGACGGGTGGGCGTGGCGAGATGCCACCCGGGACCTCCTCGCGCTCCCAGCTGGGTCGCCCCTCAGACCTGGGGTCCCGGACTCCTGCCCTCCCCCACCCTCAGGCCCTGCCGGGACACTCTGGTCCCTGGCCCGCCAGGCCTGGCCTAACTCAGGCGGGTGGAAAGGGCTACAGAGGTTGGGCCTAGGTGAGGGTCAGCAGCACCCCTACCCCGGGGAAGGTGCCTTGCGGGTGGCGGGCACAGCCTCTCCCTCTGTCCTCTTACCCCGTGCCCTGCTCCAGACTCCCTTTTTGGCCACCGGAGATGCAGTCTGTTGAGGGGTACCCCGCTTTTCCTAGTCCTGAAACTGAGGCAGCAACACCAGGGGATCCTGGAGGTGAAGCCTTCTGCCCTCCCCACCCAGGCGTGGCCTGCCCACCTACCAGGACCAGGTTCTCTCTGGAGGACTCACTTCCCTTCCAGACCCCCCGCGGCCCAGTGTAGAGGGTGGATCCCGGTCTGGTCCCGGGGCTCAGGGCCGGGGGTGCGTCAGAGCTGGGACGGGCCACAGGTCGGGCCTGCTTCCTGCCTCCAGGGAGAGGGGTGGTACGTGTACGGCAGCCGGGCACTTCCTGCCCGTTCTGCTTGACCCCTGCACCCTCCGCGTCTGCCCATGCATGCAGGCTCACCCTGCAGCGTGCATTGGCGGTCAGCCGGGAGCTTCCGAGGTGACAGCCACTCGTCACCACTTCCCAGGTCCAGGCGCAGCACCCAGAGCCCCCTCCTCTGGAGCTTGGTGAACCTGGAGCTCACAGCAGTTGCTCTGTGACCCTGAGTGACCCCCACGTCCATGAAGGAACCAACAGGGCTCACAGGTCTTCTCTCGGCCTGAGTTCAAGGTCCATAACCCAAAGTAGAGACCCTTGACCCACCCTGCCCAGCAGTGGCCCAGCAGTCAGGGGCCGGGATCGCTAGGGCAGAGGCCCAGGTGTGTGGGGGGAACCCAGGCAGCCTCCAGCAGGGTCTTGGGCTTCTCAGGCGTAGGAACAGTGGACTGAGTTGGATCACTGAGAATCTCTCCGCCCAAAGCCCCATGCCTGTCATGTTTAGCGTCCAGCCGGAACCCAGGAAGGAGGAGGCTGCCTGTGTACTGTCCATTTCAGGCACTGGTTGGCAGGACCCCTGGGAAGAGTGCTGGTGCCCAGGGAGAGCCATGTGCCTGTCATTGGCCTGTGACCCGGGGCCTGCCTGGGAAAGCCTGGGGCTGGACTCCGCTGCAACCTGCCACCTGCTCCGCGCCCCGCCCTGGGACGGCCATTTGGACTGTCACTCCTCTGGCCCCTGAGACCCTGCCCACAACCCTATCAGGCCTGGGCAGTCCCAGCCAAATCCCGGGGTAGATCCACCACGCTGTCCCCAGCCCCCTCCTCGTGGTCTGCCACGTCAACGTCACCTCTGTGAACACCACTCGGCCCTGGGGCTCCTATGCAGCGTGGCGGGGCTGGAGGGGTTGTGCCCCGTGCGTGTCTTGCAGCAATGATGGTGTCTAGGTCCTGGGTCCCTCAGGGGTGGACCCGCCGAGCTCCTGGGTTTCCTGTGCTTCGGGGGCTGGGGAGGGAAACGTGACTGTGGCTGGTGTCGGGGGCAGAGCCCACCCTGGTTGTGGTTCCTCTGGGTCCTGAGGGGTCAGCCCTGGGGGCTGCAGGCGAGACCTGGAGGTTCTAGGGAGGGAGGTGGAACGGGCACTTCCCGTGCTCTGAGACCCTGTCCCTGGTCTGCACACCTGCCACCATCAAGATGCAGGTGTGGCCAGGCCCCGGCGTGGGGGAAAGCAGCCCCCATACCATGTGTGTGTGTTTGTGTTTTTGTGTGTGTGTGTATTTGTGTATGTGTGTGTGTGTTTGTGTGTGTATATGCAGCCCCCATACCGTGTGTGTGTACATGTGTGTTTGTGGGTGTGTGTGTGTGTGTATGCGGCCCCCCCATACCGTGTGTGTGTTTTTATGTGTGTGTGCGTGTGTCCATACCGCCCCCCCTTGCAGTGTGTGTGTGTGTATATGCAGCCACCATACACGTGTGTGTACATGTGTGTTTGTGGGTGTGTGTGTGTGTGTATGCGGCCCCCCCATACCGTGTGTGTGTTTTTATGTGTGTGTGCGTGTGTGTGTGTATACCGCATACGAGTGTGTGTGTGTGTGTGTGTATATACGCCCCCATACGTGTGTGTGTACATGTGTGTTACAGAGTGTGTGTGTACAGCTCAGTCTTGTGTGTATGCGGCCCCCATACCGTGTGTGTGTGTGTTTTTATGTGCGTGTGTGTATACGCACATACCGGGGGTGTGTGTGTGTGTTTGTGTGTTTATGTGTGTTTATACGCCCCCCATACCCGGGGGGGGTGTGTGTATGTACATTGACAAGCCATTCCCACGAACCCTGCAACCCACACCCACTTCTCCTCAGGGAGGAGTCCCAGTGTCCCAGGGCTGGAGCCATCCCCACTCACGGATCAGACCACGGGGCCAGGGTCATGCCGGTGGCCAGTCTGGGTCAGGGTGACCCTCTTGGGTGACCTCATCCTGTCTGTTCTCTTGCGTGCCTCATCTGTCTGTCATTAGACCTGTTGTGTGTGTGTGTGTGTGTGTATGCGGCCCCCCCATACCGTGTGTGTGTGTTTTTATGTGCGTGTGTGTATACCGCCCCCATACCGGGGGTGTGTGTGTGTGTTTGTGTGTTTATGTGTGTTTATGCCGCCCCCATACCGGGGGGGGGGGTGTGTGTGTGTATGTACATTGACAAGCCATTCACGAACCCTGCAACCCACACTTCTCCTCAGGGGGAGTCCCAGTGTCCCAGGGCTGGAGCCATCCCCACTACGGATCAGACACGAAGACCAGGGTCATGCCGGTGGCCAGTCTGGGTCAGGGTGACCTCTTGGGTGACCTCATCTGTCTGTTCTCTTGGGTAACCTCATCTGTCTGGTGTCATTAGACCTGTTGGGGGACCTTGGGGGTCTGAAACCCAGTGTGTCCTGCCCACGGCCAGTCCCCTCGCCCCTCCTGCTGTGGGCCCTGTCACCAGGGTAGAGCTGAGCCACTGGCCCACCATGGAGCCAGGACCCCTTCGGCACAGAGGTGACCCTGGGCCCTCTAGAGAGGGTCCAGGCCTTCCAAACCTCTCCTGCCTGAGCAGCACCACGAGAGGGAGGGATGGGAGCTGGGAACCTGGGCCGCGCCCTCTTCCCCCACGCCTGATGGGCACCCAGCCCCACCTCCAGGCCCAGGTGTGAGGCCCACGCTCAGCCTGGGATTGCACTGGGCTGGCCGGGAGCGGGGAGTGAGGATGTGGTGATGCTGGGGGCGGTGGTGTGATCTGCTGCATCTCGGGGCCCTGCCCCTGGAGATTTCCACGCGACAGACTTGGTGGCAGCTTTCGGGCAGGAGGAGGGGTTGGAAAGTGTGATGGAGGGGTCACAGAAGGTCTCTCCCCGGCTCTGTGTCTCCACCCCTGTCCCTGCCTCCACACCCTGGGCGTCGCCCGTCTTGGGGTGGAGGCTGAGGCTGTGGGGCTGAGGAGGGGCAGCAGGTGTGGGATGTGGTTCAGCAGAGTGGGCAGCCCAGGCCGGGGGTTGAAGCTGCCTCCTGGGTTCCCATCCGTTCCCCCAGCCCCGAAGCATTTCAGTGCTGGCCTGGGGATGCGCTTACCCTTTCCCGGTGGCCTCACCTGCTCTCCTGTGACAGCACACACCTCCAGAGGGGCCCTCCCGGGCTGGCCCTGCCGCCCCATCCCTGTCCCTGCTTCTGCATTCAGCGCTGATAATGGCAGGCAGCACCCACATTTGCATTCACTCTCTCCCTGTGTCTTCGCCTCTAGACAAGAGCCCGTGAGGTCGGCCCCCTTCCAGCCTCATGGCGCCCCAGGGTCTGCACACTGGTTCAGGGAGGCTCAGGAGCTCAGATGATCTGTGCAGGGCTCCATCTATACCTGGCCTGTGGGGAAGGGGGGCTCGCCAGCCAGGCACGTCCTGGGCACTTGCTGGGCCTGTCGCCCTAAGCTCCTTCCCATGAAACTGGCTCCATGGGGGAGCCAGACCTGGGGGCAGTTCCCACTGAGTGGCCGTGGGGGAGGCTACCAGGTAAGGCTTCCTGGAGGAGGAGTGCCGTACCTCATGGGGCAGGCCAAGCTGGCTGGCCAGGCCGGGGTGGACAGAATTTTGCGTTTCCCGAGAGCCGTGGCTTGGCTATGGGGTCAGAGTCAGGCAGAACGGAACCAATAGTCCCAGCAGGCCGAGGCGGTGGGGGAGAAGTAGTCAGCTCTGGGCACCTTTTTTTTTTTTTTTTTTTTTTTTTGAGATGGAGTCTCTCTGTGTTGCCCAGGCTCTAGTGCAGTGGCGTGATCTCGGCTCACTGCAACCTTCGCCCCCTTCGCCCCCGCCCGGGTTCACGCGATTCTCCTGCCTCAGCCTCCAGAGTAGCTGGGATTACAGGTGTGTGCCACCACACCTGGCTAATTTTTGTATTTTTAGTAGAGACGGAGTTTCACCATGTTGGCCAGACTGGTCTTGAATTCCTGACCTCGTGATCCACCCTGCTGGGATTACAGGTGTGAGCCACTGCATGTGGCCTCTGGGCACCTTTTGAAGGTAGGACGAGAGGAACTGATGGATCGGAGCCAGTGGGGAGTGCCGAGGAGGGCCGGAGGCAGGGCTGCCACCCTTGCCTGTGTGGGGAAGATGAAGAACAGGGTGTGGGGGGCGGGGACAAGATCAGGAGCTTTGGGTTTTGAAGACGGTAGGAACGAGGTGCTGCTGGCTTTCCAAACGGAGCTGCTGAAACCAGGTGTCTGAGTTTGGAGCTCAGAGCAGAGGTGGCGCTGGACGGGCAGAGGCTGTGCAGACAGAAGAGCCAGGGCCTGTGGGCTCCCATGGAGGAGGAGGAAGACAAACGGCCCTGGCCAGGGCAAGGTGGGAAGCCGGGAAACGCAGCCTCCGCACAGCCATGCAGAGAAGGCGCCGTTGGAAGGAGGTGGCACTGATGACCTTGGAGGCTGCTGAGGACCGGCTGGGCCCCAGGGTCCATGGGACCCTGAGAGCCAAGTCCTCCGTGGGCTTGGAGGGCGGGACACAGCTCTGGAGACACGGGAGAGGACTGGCCGTGCCGACCAGCACCACAGTGTTCCTGAGTGGCTGCAAAGTTGCTGTTGCTGGCTGGGCGCGGTGGCTCAAGCCTGTAATCCCAGCACTTTGGGAGGCCAAGACGGGCGGATCACGTAGTCCCAGCTACTCGGGAGGCTGAGGCAGGAGAATGGCGGGAACCTGGGAGGCGAAGCTTGCAGTGAGCTGAGGTCCGGCCACTGCACTCCAGCCTGGGCGACAGAGCGAGACTCCACCTAAAAAAAAAAAAAAAAAAAACTTGCTGTTGCTGAATTTTATTATTATTAATTACTTTATTTATTTTTATTTTTTGAGACGGAGTTTTGCTCTTGTTGCCCAGGCTGGAGTGCAGTGGCGCGATCTCGGCTCACTGCAACCTCCGCCTCTCAGGTTCACGTGATTCTCCTGCCTCAGCCTCCCGAGTAGCTGGGATTACAGGCACCACCACGCCCAGCTAATTTTGTGTTTTTAGTAGAGACGGGGTTTTACCATGTTGGCCAGGCTGGTCTCGAACTCCTGACCTCAGGTGATCTGCCTGCCTCGGCCTGAAGTGCTGGGATTTCAGGCGTGAGCCACCACGCCCGGCCATGAATTTTAATTCATTCACATTTACAAATCACACAGCCATACATGCTTCTTCCGGGAGAAGCTGTGCTTGGAGGGGAGCAGAGGGACAGGAGCTGCAAGGAGTGGAGGCAGGGCCCGAAGGAGGAGGAGGAGCTAGGGCCCCGGGAGAGGGACCTGGCCAGGGTGGGCTGAAGCCAGGGATGGGGTCCTTCTTATCCCCTTCCCTCCCTCCCTCCCTGGTTCCCTCCATCCCCTCCTTCTGTCCACCCCTTCCCTCCCTCCCTCCCTCAGTCACTCACTCTTTTTTGCTGACATTCTGGCCTCTGGGGCTGCCACCCGAGTACAGTGTAGTCCTGGGCTCTGGAGTCCAGTGCCTCGAAAGTAAGGAGCAGTTGTGATCTCGGATGTGGGCTCCAGGGCAGCCCTGACCTCGTGGGGGGCTGTGGACGAGGAGGGTCCTGGGAACAGGGTGGCTGTTCACCAGGAAGGGGCAGGGCTGCAGCCTCAGCCTCCCCTCCAGGTGCTGGCGGCACCAGCCTCTGCCTGTGTGGGGCCCTGAGGTTTGCAGAGCCAAGGTCCAGCTCCTCAGTGACACCCCCAAGCTTCCTGACCTGCCCCACCTGAGACACAGAGCGAGACTCCCTGGGGCCGCATAGGCATCTGCCGGCCTCTTGCCCCCCTCCCTGTGCACCCACCCGTCCCTCTGTGGAGTGTCTCAGTCCCAGTGTTACGGCCCCGTCCCTCTGTGGAGTGTCTCAGTCCCAGTGTTATGGCCCCGTCCCTCTGTCGAGTGTCTCAGTCCCAGTGTTACGGCCCCGTCCCTCTGTCGAGTGTCTCAGTCCCAGTGTTACGGACCTGGGACGCTGCAGTGCGGGGAACAGCTTCTGCCCTCCGGGAGATGAGAACCTGTCATCAGGCAGCTGGTGCTGAAACAGTGACCATAAGCTGGGCGGGCAGGCAGCTCCTTCCCTCAGCTCTGGAAGCTGGAAGTCCGAGACCCTGGCCGTGGAGGTTGGGGGGTGGAGTGGACGGGGCTGCTGAGAGCCTCGGGTGCGTGTGGAGAAGGAGGGAGCCCCACTGGCCCCAGGCCCTGCCACTTGGGGGAGAATTCCAGCCCGTCCGTGTCCCTGGGACCCCACAGCCCCTGGCCAGTGACCATTCCTGGCTTTGAGCACAGTGGCCTCAAGCCACCATCGTGGGTGTTACCATGGAAACAATGAGGGAGGTTTGTGTGGGGCCAGACTCCTCCTCTGGGCACTGACCTGCTCTCCCCACTCCAGGTGGCTCCACCCCGAGGTCCGCGGTCCGCGGGGTGGAGGCGGAGCAGCTGTTCCTATCCAGGGGTCAGTGTGGGAACTTCCTTGCCAGGCCCAGCGAGAGCAGCCCCGGGGGCTCATGGTGTCCGTCAGGGCACGGACAGGCTCTGGTTGAAGGCCTCATGGGGTCTGGACGTCCTCAGCTGGGGGCCTGGGGCAATTCACACCTGGGTCCTCCTGGAGGGCCGGTGGGCAGCTTCCTGGACACAAGGCCTTGGTGCAGGGGGCCGATGCGCTGGGAAGGTTGTGAGAGTTGGACGTGGTGCTGGGCAGCCTCTGGGCGGGAAGGAACTATTTGGAGAGGCTTTTGGGGAGGCCTCATTGAGTCAGGGGCTCCGCACGACCCTTTCCCGCCTATGAGGGGCCTGGGGACAGGCAGGGCTTCTGGGGCTGTGACTGTGTTGCCAGAGCCTGGGGGTGCAGCTCCGGTGCCTGCTGGGCTGCCAGGACCCCACGTCGGAGTGGTGAGCCCTGGCCCAGCATCCATGTGTCTGTCAGCACATGTGCATGTGTGCGTTCGTGTGTTCGTGTGTGTTCATATGTGTGCGTATGTTCGGGTGTGTTCGTGTGTGTGGTCTTGTGTTCGTGTGTTCATGTGTGTGCATGTGTTTAGGTACGCGTGTTTGTGTGAGTGTGTGTGTGAGTGTGCATGTGTGTGTGTGCACGAGCCTGCATCCTGAGGGACGGCATCTGCTAAGCACTGGTTCAGGGCACGGCTGCAGCAAAGCAAGAGGGTGCAGGGTCCTGCACCTGCCTCCCCCAGGCCTCCTTCCTTCAGGTCTCAGGCACTGGAGTCCAGGGTGACTCAGGGGAGCCAGTCCCTGCCCTGGCCCCATCCCTGCCCTCCTGGCTGTTGCCCTGGGCTGAGCCGGTTCCTCCAGCCTCGGTTTCCCCACTGCAGGGTCCTGTATCTACAGGGAAGGAGGCCTGGTCTGGGGAGGCCGCCCGGCCCCTCCTTGCTGTGGACCAGGCTGCCACCTGGTGGCTGCCCACCCCTGCAGCGCCCGCCTGCCTCCTGCAGGCTCCTGGGTGGGCAAGGGCCAGAAAGGTGTGCAGAGCAGCTCTGGGGCCTGGGTGGGGGCGCTGCCTGGACCCCCAAGGTCTGCGTATGTCTCACTGAGCCTTCTGCCCCATCTGTGTGGGTCTCTCCCCCTCACCTGGCCAGGCCATGGCCTCCAGCCTCACCTGAGCTCCCCTATGCCTGGGCCAGGTAGTACCAGGGGAGCTTGTCTGGCAAGGAGGCTGAGAAACTGCTGCTGCAGAAGGGGCGTCCGGGCAGCTCCCTGGTGCACGAGAGTCAGAGCAATCCTGGGGACTTCCCGCTGTCAGTGCTGACGCAGCGGTGGGACAAGGCACAGGGCGTGGGCTGCCAGCCACGGGTCACCCACATCTTGATTTGCTTCCAAGTGGGAGGTGGCAGTGGGCTGGGGCGGCCTCTGGGAAGGGCAGGCGGCCTTGGCCAGGCCCCTCACCGCCGCCCCCACAGCCAGATGAGAAGTACGATGTGGGAGACAGGGAGCACTTGGATACCCTTGGAGACCCGGTGGAGCCTGACGATGGAGAAGGCAGGGGCTGTCGTGCACCTCAAGCAGGTAGGCCCCTCCACAGGCACCAGAGCCGAGGGCACAGCCTCACCCAGGAAGGCAGCTGGGGGTCCACTGGGGTCAGGGACTACCCCTACCAGGGGAGCCCCCAGGCGCCTGAATGGCCACGGGAAGGAGAATCTGCAAACCCCTCTGTGTGTCCTCCTGGCACATGGCGACCTCTGTGACCCGATGAGGGTGCAGGACCAGGCCAGGGTGGCCACGTGCAGGGGCACAGGGCCCAGGACAGGGTGACCAGATGCAGGGGTGCGGGTCTGGGCCAGGGTGGCCAGGTTGTTGGGGGGGCCTGGGGCAGCTGCCCTCGGTGGTGGGGGGTGTGGTGGGGTCTGCAGGTCCCCGGGGGGCTGTGGTGGGGGCTGCAGGGCCCCGGGGGGCTGTGGTGGGGTCTGCGGGGCCCTGGGTCCCCCTGAACTTAGATGCAGGCCTCTCCCTGGCAGCCCCTCAAGGCCACAAGGATCAGTGCTCGGAGCCTGGGGCGCTGTGTGCAGGAGCTTAGCAGGGCCACCGATGCCAGTGGGAAGGCCAGGCAGGGCTTCTGGGTGGAGTTCGAGGTGCGTCCTGACTTCTACGACCCTCAGACTCTGTCCCCTGGGGCTGGGAGCACAGGGTCCGGGACTGTAGGGTCCAGCCCTGTGGGGCTTAGCGGGTGTTCTCCCGGTTTGTGGAGACGAGAGATTGTAATAAATAAAGACACAAGACAGCGATAAAGAGAAAGCAGCTGGGCCCAGGGGACCACTGCCATCAAGACACGGAGACTGGTAGTGGCCCCGAATGGCTGGGGGCGCTGATATTTAATGGATACAAGACAAGGAGGCAGGGTAAGGAGGGTGAATCTTCTAAGTGATTGACAAGGGTTAGCAAATCAAATCATGTGATCACGGGACGGGGGCCCTTCCCTTTTAGGTATCAGAAGCAGAGAGTGAAGGCAGCATACGTCAGTGTTTTCTTCTCTGCACTTACAAGAAGGATCAAAGACTTTAAGACTTTCACTATTTCTTCTACTGCTGTCTACTACGAACTTCAAAGAGGAACCAGGAGTACGGGAGGAGCATGAAAGTGGACAAGGAGCGTGACCATTGAAGCACAGCACCACAGGGAGGGGTTTCGGCCTCCGGATGACTGCGGGCAGGCCTGGATGATATCCAGCCTTCCACAAGAAGCTGGTGGAGCAGAGCGTTCCCCGACTCCTCCAAGCAAAGGAGACTCCCTTTCGCCGTCTGCTAAGTAACAGGTGCCTTCCCAGACACTGGCGTTACCACTTGACCAAGGAGCCCTCAAGTGGCCCTTACGTGGGCGTGACAGAAGGCTCACCTCTTGCCTTCTAGGTCACTTCTCACAATGTCCCTTCAGCACCTGACCCTATATCCACCAGTGATTCCTAGGTTATATTAGTAATGCAACAAGGAGTAATATTAAAAGCTAATGATTAATAATGTTTATAATAATGATTGATAATTGCCCATGATCATCTCTATATCTAATCTGTATTATGACTATTCTTATTCTATTTTCTTTATTATACTGAAACAGTTTTTGCCTTTAGTCTCTTGCCTCAGCACCTAGGTCCTCTTCTGTCCACACAGGACAAGGTGGGGTTGGCCATCTAGGGCTCTGGGAAGGAGCCAGGGCTGTGAACTGAAGGCTCCATCACCTCCAGATGCTGTAGCAGCAGGAATGCCGGTTCCTGTATCCTGGAAAGGAGGGGCAGAGGGTAGAGAACAAGCCCAAGAATCACTGTGAGGGCAGAGGCCAGGGCGTCACCCGTCGGGCCTGGGGAAGGTGGGGGGCAGGCCAAGCATCTGCCACCACTGACCTGAGGCTTCCCCTCCCACACCCTGGACCCTCCATCTCTGCTCACCACGGGGTCCGCAGGCAAAGAGGCAGGGTTGGGCCCACGAGCTCTGCCCTGGAGAACTGAGCGGCACCTCCCTTCCCAGTTGACACCACCTGAGTCATCCTGCTCGACAAGAATGACAGTGGGCCTGGAGCCGACTACATCAGGGTGGGTGTGCGCAGGAGGTGGGCCTGGGCCCATTGCTCCTGGGGGGCCCAGGAAGAACCAGGGTCCCCAGGGGAGGGGTGGGCAGCAGTCCCCAAGGGGTCCTCAGAGAGGCTGGACTGGCATAGGTCCTCAGCCCCTTGCTGGCCTGGAGTGAGGAGTGTGTTTGAGCCACCAGAGCTCCTTTGCTTAATATTTGCATAATATTTGCATAGCATTTGCATGGACTTGTTTGTCCTCTGGAAACAGCAGCAGTTGGCCTCATCTCCTTTCAGACTGACCCTGAGGAGGAGCCAGGCCACGGCGGGGGCAGGGTGTACATCGCCACGCAGGGCTGTCTGCAGGCCGTGGTGCACCAGGAGAACACGCGTGGCATTGTCACTACCAGCAGGGAGGTGGAGCGAGGCCGGGTAGGGGCGCGGTGCCAGCACTCCCAGTGCCCATCCCACCCTGTGCATCTTCAGCTGCCCAAGGCCCTTCCCGACCAGGCCAAGGAGCCTGTGGGACGCTGTGGGAGTGGGGAGGCTCCCACAGAGCCCTGTGGCTGCACGTACACGCCTGCATCTCTGCAGGGCGCAGGGGTGGGGTGCTGGGGGGCTGCCGGCAAGGCTGATGTGAACCACTCCCCCCAGAACAAGTGTTTCCGGGACTGGCCCAGAGTTCGGCTGGGTGCATGTGGGCATCCTGGGTGAGGGCCAGGCCCAGGGCTACTGCGTGCAGGAGCTGCAGGTGTGGCAGCCGGGCCAGGTGAGCCTGGCAGCAGGGGAGTGTGCCTACCATGGACCTGCACTGGGAGACCTCCACACCTGCCTGCATCCAACCCCACCGCCTTTGGAGGCTTCCACACCCCTCAACCCAGGAGGTGCAGTCCAAGCCTGGGCAGGGGTCACTGAGGTGGCCACATTCTCAGCCCCAGGCTGGCGGCCGCTCCTCCCACACACCTCTCAAAACTGCAGCTTTGGGCCGGGCGCGGTGGCTCAAGCCTGTAATCCCAGCACTTTGGGAGGCCGAGACGGGCGGATCACGAGGTCAGGAGATCGAGACCATCCTGTCTAACATGGTGAAAACCCGTCTCTACTAAAAAAATACAAAAAACTAGCCGGGCGAGGTGGCGGGCGCCTGTCGTCCCAGCTACTCGGGAGGCTGAGGCAGGAGAATGGCGTAGACCCGGGAGGCGGAGCTTGCAGTGAGCTGAGATCCGGCCACTGCACTCCAGCCTGGGCGACAGAGCGAGACTCCGTCAAAAAAAAAAACTGCAGCTTTGGTCTCCGTTGCATACCAGCGGCGCCCTTTTCTGTCCCGGGCAGATTACCTCCTGCTCCCCCCAGCCCCCGCCCAGTGTGTGTGAGGGGGTCCTCCAGGCCGCCATGGAGCCCTCGCATTTGGTTTTTCCTTATAGAATCACTGTGCTCACAGCCTGCTTCTCCTGCCCCAGCTTCCTCTTGCCTTCCCCAGGCACCTGAGCCACCTGGGGCCATCTCGGCGCCCCTCCCCGTTTCCTCCCTCCTCCTGCTCGCCGTGGCCCCCGCAGTCCCTCCACCTGGGCACTCCCGGCAAACCCAGCTGTGCCTCAGCCTCGTCCTCCCTCCGCCCCTCACCCCCGGGGGGTCGCACTCATCGCCTGCTCCGCCCGGAGGAGCCACCGCACAGGGCGCGGCACTTCCAGTACTTCGGCGGGCCAGACTACGGCGTCCTCGGCTTCCGGGACGAGGTGAACCGGGCCCAGAGCAGCGAGCGGGGGGCCGGGCCCGTGGGGGTGCCCTTCAGGTGCGGCGGGGTGGGGCCACGCGGGTGGAGCCATCGGGTGGCGCGGGGCGCCCCCGCCCCCCACTCCCATCGAAGGCCGCCTGGTGTGTCTTCAGCGCGGGCATCATCGTGATTGACATCCTGGCAGACGTCATCCGCAGGCAGGTGAGCTCCTCCTCCCTGGGTGCCTCCACCCTGCCCGGCTATAGCCCCACCCCTCAGGACGACCCCACCCCTGCCAGCAAGCCCCGCCCCTCATCCGTAGCCCCTCCCTAAGCGCGCGTGTTCCCGGGGCTGGGCTGCGAGATCGACGTTCCTATCCAGCTGGTTCGGCGGCGGGGCTCGGGGATGGTGCAGAGGGAGGCTCAGGACAAGCTCGTGCACCTGGCGCTGCAGCGGTACATCCAGGGCGGGCGACTGCGCCTGCGCGAGCAGGCGGGGTCGGGGCCCTTGCGGGGCGGGGCCTTGCTGGCGTCGCCATGGTGACCGGCGGCCCCTCCCCAAAGCTCAAGCCGCCCCAGGAGCGCGAGAACCAAAAAGTGGGTACCGCCCCCCGCGAATCGGGTTGCGGCCCCCGGCCCGCGTCTCCCCGGGCGCCCGCAGTGTGAGTGGAGAGCCGGGGCCGGGCCGGGGTCCTCCGGGAGGGACTGGGACGTGCGGGGCGCCGAGCTGAGCCGCTGCTCCGCGCGCAGGACCCCGCAGCCCTGGATGCGAACCTGCAGAGCCGCGGGTGTTTGAGGAACCCGCGTGGGGCCGGAGCCGCGGGCCGGGACTGTGTCCGGGACGGAGCCACAAGCTGTCCCCAGCTCAGGGAGGCCCAGGGGCGGCAGAGGGAGCGGCAGGCGGCAAAGCCCACCCGTGACCACGTGTGAACCCGTGTGCGCCACCAGCTGAGCCACTCAGTGCGGGTCTGAGCGGCCAGGACACCAGGCTGCCCTCACCGCAGCTCCGGTCTGCCGGCCCTGCCTGCTCCCGTGGTCTGGGATGTGGCCCCATCAGTCACAAGGTGGATTTTTGTGGAGTGAGGTGGGTGTGACATATTCATGTGGCCACCCGTGCAGCGTCACGCGCCTGGCCCTGCCGATGACAAGGGTGTGGGCCTGCGTGGGCATGACCGTGTGTGTGACACAGAGTGATGTCGCTGTGACCTGTGGCTGCACTCCCCACATCACCGGCTTTGCAGCCTTCCTGTGAAGTGCTGTGTTCGTTCTCCCTTCTGTCTTTGTTGGGACCTGGGGCAAGGGTGGGTGTGGTGCCCACAGCCAGAGTCAGCTTCTGTGGGGCCTTCCTGAGCCCTTCCCATCCTGAATCAGAGGCCCAGCTGGTTGGAGCAGGAAGTACCTGGGCTCTGGGGTCAGGGATGAGAAGGCCGAGGAGGCCTGCGTGAGCTGGAACTGGCCTGGGTCCTCCTGGCCGTGCCTGCCTGGTGGTGCAGGATTCCTGGGGCTGATGACAGACGGGGTAGGGCTGGGGTTGGCAAGCCTCCTGCCGAGGCCTCACGAAGCTGCACTCTGCCTCTTCCCCAGCCAGGCTGGCCCGGGAGTTGCCAGAGGGTCTGTGGATCTGCAGACTGCCGGCTGTTACCTTTGCTTCTGGGTTCCCACAGGGGTCATGGGTTCTGTGGCTCTCCAGTCAGGGACCCTGGCAGGGCCATGGGCATGAATTCCTGGAGGTGTGGCCTAGTATGGCCACAGTGGGGGATGGGGGAAGAGAAAGGCCCCCTTTGTCAGCCACTGGGCTCTGAGCCAAGCTGAAGCCCTCCCCCTGGTCAGGCCCCAAGCGTCCCGGGGGAGCCTCACACTGGTGAGTCTCCAGCCAACTCCAGAAACCCCCAGCCTGTCTGTAGCCAGAGGGGCTGGGAGTTGGACCCCCTGGAACTTTGGGCCCACCTGACCCAGTGTCTGCCGGGAGTCTAATCCTGTCAGGGTATCATCTGGGTTGAGGCTGCAGCAGGTGCACCCAAGGTGAGGCCCTCTTACCAAAGATGGATACAAATAATTTATTTTAAAATGTACAAGGGCAGCTGGAAGTTTCTGTGGTTACCTTGCACTGGGGGGCTGCCCTGCCTCCACACTCTCCCCACAGTCAGAGGGCAAGACTGGCATCCCCACCCAACGGTGGGGCCAGCCCTGAGGCGGCCATGTCGGCATGGGTCGAAGCATGGCAAGGCCCCTTCCTTCTTGGCAAGGGGCTTCCCTGGCAGGCAATTCACACTGTGTGTGGGTGGCAGGAGTGCTGACCAGCTTCTCTCCTGGGCGCTTCCTGTAGGAGCCTGGTTTTTGTTTTTGTTTTTTTTCAATTTAAGACAGGGTCCCGCTGTTTCACCCAGGCTGGATGCAGTGGTGCAATCTTGGCTCACTACAATCTCCACCTCCTGGGTTCAAGCAATTCTCCTGCCTCAGCCTCCCAAGTAACTAAGAGACACCTGCCACAATGCCCAGCTAATTTTTGTATTTTCAGTAGAGACAGGGTTTCAGCACGTTGGCCAGGCTGGTGTCGAACTCCCGACCTCAAGTGATCCTCCTGCCTCAGCCTCCCAAAGTGCTGGGATGACAGGCATGAGCCACTGCGCCCAGTGAGCCTGTGGTTCCCGGAGGCTTTGGGGACCCTCTTGTCCACCCCATCAGGGCCCAGCCTGGAGAGTGAGGGGTGGACAAGCTAAATGGAGCCTGGTCTTGGTGGGGCCCAGAAGGAGTCTTCAGAGACGCCAGGCTCCTTTTGCATCCTCGGGGATTGATTTCCAGTGGCTGCTGCGCCCTTGAGCCCACCAGTGGGGGACCCACCCATGGAGCTGGGTGAGGGCAGCTGACCTGTGCAAAGGCTGGTGGCCCTAGCTGTCAGTCAGAGGCCTGCGGGGGGAGGCGACTGTGGTGGTGGCCGGGGGCCTGGGGGGCAGCGGCAGGCAGCGTAGGTTCCCAGTCTTGAGCGCGCACTGCACCGGCCAAAGTGCCACGCAGAAGAGCACCAGCAGCAGGGCACAGACCAGTGCCATGCGCCTCCAGTCCCTGCAGCGCATCCAGCAGCGGGCCAGGCGGCCCCGGCGGGGGGCAGGGTCCTGGGCGGGTGCAGGCGGCTCGGCAGGCTTGCTCAAACCCACATCCACACATACAAAGCTGGGCTTGTGGCCAGGTGTGGTGGGCAGTGGTTGGCAGCACAGCTTGGTGCCCTCCAGCCACACGGGTTCCTCGCGCCGCAAATGCGCTGGCATCCGGGCCTGCAACTGGCGGCTGGTGCGCAGTGCGGGGGCTCCGGCAGGCGGCACGGTCGTGGGCTGCCTGCAGAAGGGGCAAGGTACAGCCTCACCGCCAGGGCGGCCCACAGGCTGAGCAGCCGCCAGCCGGGCCAGGCACTCCAGGCAGAAGACGTGGGTGCAGGAGAGCTCCTTGGGCGTCTTGAAGATGTTGTCATAGCCTGAGAAGCAGATGGAGCACTCCAGGGGGGAGGCCACCTTCTCCGAGCCAGGGGTGCCAGGGGACCTGGGGCTGCCAGCCGAGCTGGGGGACCTGGGCATCGAGGCTGTGGAGCTGCTCCGGTGATGGGGGGGCACGGCCGTGTGCCACACCTGCTGGCCTGACGACATGTCTCGGAGCTGTGGGACAGGGACCCTGCTGAGCAACCACAGGCCGCCCCTTTCTGGTGGTCTTTTACCTCCCCCTCCCCTCTCTTGCCCGGAGATCCCAGGGAAGGGCTCTGTTCCCCGTGCGCCACTCCAGAAAGTTCGTCCGGTGCCCCTGGAGGTCATTCTGCCCCACGTGCAATCCTGCCCTCTCCACCCCATCACGTGGCTGCACCGGGTGAGCCTCCCACGGGACCCCAGGCCGGCTCCGGGAACGCAGGCCGTGTGCACGGGGGTCTCGCCGACTGCTTGGCAGACACCTCCTGTCAGCCCTGCCTCACCTGGCTGGCCGACAATATTCTGCCTGGGCAGAAATAATGGTGAGGATGACGATAGCCACAGTGGTCAGTGTTTATGTCAGGGCTCTGCAAGGCTGGGCCCACGTCAGGGGACTCACAGTGTGGAAAAGGCTGCCCAGAGCATGGGTGACTCAGCCAGGGCCACCCCAAGGGAGCCAGCAGGCCCTGGACCCTGGAGGATACGGCTCTCAGGCAGGCCAGGGGCTCCGAGTCAAGTGAAGTGAGTTTGAATTTGGATCCCAGGATGGGTGCCTGGCTTGGGCAGTGCAGGCCCGATTTGCAGGCAGCTATGTGAGGGTGGGGTGTGGGGGTCTCTGGGTCTGGGGACTGGGCTGAGCCCCGGGGGCTTCGGGACGACAAGGAGGGCCCAGGCAGGGGCAGGGGTCAGTGCCCGAGGAAGGTGAGTGTCAGGCACAACCTGGGGCCTGCAGGGCCAGCTTGTCTGGCTGCTGAGGGTCTGATGTGCATGGCGGAGGACTGGGACTTGGCTAAGCCCAGCCATTCCCTCTGGGCCCACTGCCTGATGGTCAGGTGATGGTCAGGGCACCCTCAGCCGCCCACTGAGTGGGTGTTTCTTCTCTCTGACCCACTCCCACTTCATGGCAGGGGCCCTGGGGGGTGGACACTGGGGGACGCTGCTCTCCCCCTGGGCGTGGCTCAGGTGGGCATCTCAGCTGACCTGGGACCCTGCTCCACCTCCCGCCCCTCCCCTGCACCCAGGATCCCCTGCAGGGGTCCCAGCTGGAGGGAAGTGGGCAAGGGTGAGAGTGAGCCTCAAGGGCCTGGCTGTGCGTCCCCTTGGGGCCCAGGAGGATGCCCCAGAAGTGACTCCTGGCACTGCCCTGGCCCGCCCCTGACTTGCCAGTGAGTCCCAGACAGGCTGGCGGGATGACACAGGCCACTGTGACCACCTGAGTCACGTACCGTCACGGTGAGGCCGTGAGTGCCCCAGGCACCGGGACCTGGGGACTGTGCTCTGTGGCCTGTGCACCCCACAGAACCGGTTCCTTGGCACCAGGCCCCACCCCTCCACGATGGTGCCCCACCCTGAGCCTGTGCAGGTGAGGGGTGAACACAGGCTGAGCTGCCCTTACCTGGTGGCCGGGGGTCAGCGGGTCCTGGGCATGGTCCTCCTCACTGGCCACGGTTGGGCTCCAAGGCCCTGGGCTGCCCTGCCCTGGCAGAGTTTCCTTCCTCGTCTCCGGGCCCAGCCTGGCCTGTGCTTCACCTGGCAGGTATCCCTCCCGGGGCCAATCACCAGTAGCTGTCCCGGTGGCACTGGTCTGGCAGGTGTGGCTTCTGCTCCGTCCAAGACAGGTGGGGACACAGGGAATGTGTGGGCCCTCGCCCGCGCAGAGCTCTGGTCTGAGGCAGGTGTGAGTTGCCGGGTGTGGGCGCCCAAGCAGGTCTATTTATACCCTATGGGTCGTGCTGGCCCAGGGTGTGGCCACAAGCCTCAGGGATTGGCTGGCTTCCTCCTCTCCTTGGCAGGCCAGGCAGCTGGAGGGCAGGGAGTGGGGTGAGGGTCGGAGCCAGGTGGGGGTCAGCACACTCGCTGCTGTCTGGGCGGGTCTGGGCTGGGGTGTGTGCGTGGACCAAGCCCTGTCTCCCTGTAGCCCCAGGAGGCTGAAGCAACCGCTGGAAGCTGCTCCGCCGGGTTCCAGGTCCCTGTGGCCCCCGAGCTCCTGGGTGGGCTCCCAGCAGGGGCCCTCCCCTGAGCCCCCCACAACCTATGCCCAGCCTGCCCCTGCCCTTTGCTCATGGCTGCCTGACCTCACAGCCCATTCCTGCCACTTCCCTGCCCACACCCACCCATGTGCTCACCTGCCTCACCCACACACAAATGTAGCTGTTCTCACACATGGGCTGTGTCCACACGCTGTCACACACATGCCCCTCGTGTCCACACACCTCATCCCGTGTCCACACGCTCTCATGCTGTGTCCAATCACACATGCCATGTCCACCTGCGCTCTCATGCTGCTGTCCAATCACACATGCCATGTCTGCGCTCTCATGCGTCTGCACGCTCCCACAGTTGCTGTGTCCACACTCCCACACACGCCATGTCCACATGCTGTCACACACGTACGTGTCACTTCCTCACACTTCAATGCCGTGTCAGACGCTCATACTGTGTCCCGCGTTCTCACCACATGTGCTGTCCACATTCACATGCCATGTTCAGATGCTCACATGCCGTGTCACACGCCTCTCACATGCCATGTCCACACATTCACACACATGCCGTGTCCACATGCCCCAGCAGACTACAGAACTGGTCTGTGCAAAGACCAGGGCTGGAGCCAGTGAGCCGGGGAGGCTGGGGATGGAGAAGTGAGAGGCCAGAGGAGCAGCCAGTGGCATGGGCTGCCCCCACCCCCCCGCACACTCTGCTGCTTGCCCGAGGAGCCTAGTATAGGCTGCACCCCCAGGCTGTCCAGCTGCTGGCTCCCACCTCACTGAGAGTGTCTCTCCCCCAGCCCAGTAGACCTCATGCAAGAGGCAGGTCTGGCCAGGTGCCACAGCCCATCCCGCCCCGTAGAGGCCTAGGCTGGACCTGAGCTAGGACCCACATCAGCCTGGGGGTGTCACTGGGTGGGGCTGGGATTGAGAGGCCCACCCTGAGTACAGGAGAGCTGGCCAGAGCCACCCCACGGAGGCTGCCCTCAGGGCAGCTCCCGCAGGTGCCCACTGGCCTCGGTGGGGACCCAGAAGGCTCCCAGTGCTGCCATGAGCATCCTGGAGCCCAAGGGATGCTGGGAAGTGGGAATCAGGACTGCAGAGGCCGGGGCAATGCCGTGGAGGAGGAGGATGGGGCTTGGAGCCTCAGGAAGGCGGGACCCTGCAGTTCCATGAGGACTCTCGGTAGGGGGCGCAGAGCTCAGCAGAGGTCGGGCTCAGACAGGGAGGGTGAATGCTCGAGACAGTGGGAGTGAGGAGCTGGGGTTCTCGGGCATGGGGGGTTCAGAGAGAGAGAGGCTGGGGTTCAGAGGAGGGGATGGAGCTCTGTGAAGTCCAGGGTGGCGGAGGCTATGGGGACTCCGTGTGGGGAGCCACTGTGAGGCCCAGCCCAGAAAGCGCTCGCTGGAGGCTCCTGCTTCTGAGGCCGTGACTCGGGTCATGCCGCCTCCAGGAACGCCCAGGCCCCTGCAGCTCTGAACAATCCTCCCAACAGCTCCTGGGAATATCTGGGCACTGAGGTCACTCTGGGCTCGGCTGACCTCGTGCTGGCGGCAAGGTGAGGGAGGCCGGAGGATGTAGTCTCAGGGCCAGGCCAGGCCTCCCTGTGTAGGAGAGGAGCCAGCAGCTCCCTCCTCCCAGCTCAGACCAGGCCGGGAGTCAGGGTGCTGGGCTCTCGGGGGTTCGGGATGGCAGGCGGGCAGCTTGGCAGCCGTGTCAGGGCATGGGAGTGAGCCCGCCTGGTCCCCTCCATCGCAGGCAGTGGGCAGGCAGCTGGGTGAGCCTGTGGGCGTGTGTGTGATCACACGTGCGCATGCTTGAGACATGCATGCCAGGCGTGGCGCCTGGCCCTCCCCACCTCCTTCACTTCCGGTCTCCTCACCCTCTCGGGGGACTCCTTCCCCTCCAGGTCCTGGATTACAGGTCAGACCCGGCACTGCCGAAGGCCTCAAAGGACGCAGTGTGGCTGGCGTGGGGAGAGGGCCTTCGGGTCTGGGCTGCTCTGGGGCCCCCCCAGCCTCACCCCATCCCACCCCATGCTGGGCCATTGGCTCAAATGCAGCAGCTCTGTGGGTTCCCAGGCTGGACTTCTCCCAGGTGCCCAAGATGTGCAGGAGAGGAGAGCCGGTGTAGGGATCTGCAGGGCGTGCTGGGGCCAGCCTATGACCCAGCCAGTAAGTCCTCCCATACCTAGTGAGGAGGGTCGTCCTCGCTGCCACAGGTCCTTGCCCTGACCGCGTACTGCCCACCAGGGGCCAATCACAGAGTGCGCAGGTGAGGCCCGGGGGAGCTCCAACTGAGGGATATATGGAGAGGTGGCAGGAGGACCCTGGGGTTTTGGTTTGGGCCACTCGGTGGGAGAGGAAGGGGACCCAGGGTGGGAGATGGGGCGCAGGGGGGCTACTCAGGAGGTGGGCTGGGGCCCGGTGCCCCACTGTGTCTGGCGGGCCTCCAGAGCCTACCTGGCTGAACCTGCTGTCCGTGCCTGTTTCGATTTTATCCTCTAAACCCAGACGCTTCAGCCTCGAGCAAATGCAGGAGTAGGTTTCCAGCCCGGGCGTGGACTCCTTCCCTCCACCGCTCTCAGTCAGCTCCTTCCCTCTACCGGCTCTCGGTCCTGGGTCAGCTCCTTTCCTCCCACCCTGCTCTTGGTCTGGCTCCTTTTCCCTCCCACCCCCACCTCCGTCCTATGTCCCTTCCCTCCACCCCACTCCTCTCAGTCTGGCTCCTTCCCTCCACCCGCTCTCGAGTCTCAGTCCCGCTCCTTCCCTCCATCCCCACCTCCGTCCCTGTCTCTTCCTCCCACCCCCTCCCCTTTTAGTCCCACTCCTTTTCTCCCACCCTGCTCTCAGTCTGGCTCCTTTCCTCCACCCTGCTCTCGGTCAAGCTGCCCTCCATCCCAACTTCCGTCCCTGTCTCGCTTCCCTCCACCCAGTCCTCTCAGTCTGGCTCCTTCCCTTCACCCCTACCTCCATCCCTGTCTCCTTCCCTCCACCCTGCTCTCCGTCTGGCTCCTTCCCTCCATCCCCACCTCCGTCCCTGTCTCCTTCCCTCCACCCCACTCCTCTCGGTCCTGCTCCTTCCCTTCACCCCGCTCTCCGTCAGGTGAGGCTGCCAGGGCTGGGCTGAGAGTAGCCAGGCTGTCCAGTCCTCCCTTTCTCCCAGGACCAGGTGACCCTCCCAGCCCCAGGACCTTGGGCAGGGCCCAGGGCAGAGCCGATGCTCCCCAGGCGCTCCTGGCTGCAAACCTCAGGCTGGGGAGTTTTCAGGGACAGGAGGCGGAATTAATCTAAGACACAGCCCTCCAGGCAGCCGGCTTGTTCTGCCTGGGTGGAGGCACGGATACGAGAGCAGGGGGCAGCGCTCTGGCGTCCTGTGCCCAGGCCCTCTGCCCCTCAAGGCCCGTCCTGCCCAGCTCAGCCCTCTCTGGCCAGGCCCATCACCGTCCTTAAACATGCCCCCACTGCTGGCCTCCAGGCCACCCTGTTGCCCCTATTGGCCGCCAGCAGCCACTCCGGGGCGCGTCACAGCCCCGCCACAGCCCGGCGGCCCAGAAGCGCACGTCCGCACTCTGTCCCACCTCGGAGTCCGAGGCTGGGGGTCGGGGCCATGAGTCCCACCTGCACAGCTTGTGTTCAGAATGGGCCTGTGGCAGAAAATGTGCGGGAGTGGGGCACCCCTGTGCTCGTAGCTCTCAGGGCCCCAACCAGGCAGCAGGTGGGGCTCAGCTCTCCTCCACCCCGTCCCGCCTCCTGGCCCCCAGCACGCGGTGGTGAGTCGTAGCCCAGCCTGTTGGGAGTTTTGCTCCCGACCTGCACTTAGAGAACAGAGGATCCTGCAGGAGAAGGCAGCTCGGGTAATGACTTTATATCAGCACCCAGTGCCCCACGTTCCCACTGGCCCAGGTCCGGGGACCACGCGCCCAGCACCCACAGGGGACTTCACAGAGGAGCGTAGGGGCCCAGAGGCCAGGCCACCCCTCGGATGAGGCCCGGCGGCACAAACAGACAGTGCATCTGAGACCACAGTGGGCCGAGCCTGTGGTGTGCAGGGGCGGCCACAAAGAGCCTTTCTCAGGAACCCGGGAGGGACCCGGGACTCAGACAGGCGCCAAGGGCCGCCTGGCAGGTCCCATGAGGCAGTGACTTGTGGGGGTTAGATGTGGTGCCCAGCAGTAGGCAGGGATCAGCCAGACCGGGGCCCAGGCGCCGGGGTCAGACCGAGGTGCACGGGGAGCCCAGGAGTCAGCGAGGCCGCAGGCTCTGGAGGACTTTCCTGCATGTGAATTTCTGCTTCAATACAGAAAGAGATCAAGAGGAAGCTATCCTGCAGCCCCAGAAATGGCTGGCTGTGTGCCTGGGAGTCTCTGCCACCGCGGGAGGACAGCCCAGAGGCGCCCGGTCTCAGGCAGCTGGTTCCCAGGCTAAATCCTCCCCACTGGCCCGACGCCCGGCTGCAGTAGCGAGGACAAGCCTCACTGTTCTCAGGGAGTCTTGGTCTGCGGTGGTGCTGGAGGAGTCACCCATCATGGGCTCCGGAGGCATGGGGCTCCAGAGGGCATCGCAGCAAGGCCCTGGCTTCTCTGGGCAAGTGGTACCTGCCCGTAGACCCACACCAGCTTTGGCTGCCTGAGCCAGGCCTACATCTGGGCTGTGGCGCTGGGGGCCTCACTGTGTTTCCTGGGGGGCCCGGACCCCCACGGCCTTGATCTGATGATGCTCCTGAGGAGTCTCACGGATGCCTGCTCCTGGTCCCATCAAACAGGCTGTGAGTGGAAGGAGCCTCAGGCGGCAGGACCTGGTGTCTGTGGCTGGGAGACAGAGGACTCAGAGCCAGGAGCTGTGCCCAGGCCTGTCGGGGCGCTGGCGTGCCAACCCTTTGTGCGGAGTTCCCGCCAGTGGTCAGCCTCCCGAGTCCCTGCTGCCAAAGCGCAGGTGTGGTCTCGGCCTCCAGGTCGGGCATTGCTGAAATACGAGCCTCCGCCGGGAGGCAGCGAGGTCCATGGCCTGTCCAGGCGGCCGCTCCGCCTGGCCATCAGCGCTGACTTCCACGTACTGGAAATGGGTCAGAGACAGGCAGGGTCAGAGTGGGACCTGGACAGCAGGGACAGTGCAGGCCTCAGCCCCTACCGGGAGGCTCTAGGAGCAGGCATGGCACAGGCATCCGGGGCTGTTTACTCTGACCAGATGGGAACCCAGATGCCCCCTGCCCCGAAGGAGTGCCCTCAGAGCTCGGCTAAGAAGGGCGGCTTCCCTCCTGCCCTGCTGCATCCTCTCATTCACACCTGGGCCCTGGGGCCGGGGCGAGGCAGGCTATCCCTGAGACAAGGCGTGGGTGCAGAGCCATGTACCTTGGGGCGACAAGCAGACCCTAGCCGAGACCTCAAATGTGACCTTATTTAGAAGGGGGCTTTGCAAGAGTTAAATCAGGGTCTCAGGCGTGATATTGAGGTTCCTGGGGCAGACCCTGAATCAATGGCCCAGTGCCCACCTGAGAGGCGGAGAGAGACGCAGAGTGGGAGACACCGTGGGACCAGGGCAGAGACGGGCAGCGCAAGCCAGATGCCTGAGCCGGCAGGAGCTGGGAGGCGGGCAGGGTCTCCCCTACAGAGCCTCGGGAAGCACGCTGGCCTCGCCTGCCCCTTAGTTTTGGACTCTGAACTCTGGGACAGTCAGATTAAGGTCTGCTGTTGAAGCTGGCAGGCTGGGGCAGCCCAGGCACCGTGGTTTACTGGGCCCTTGCAGACCACGGCTGCGCACAGGGCCAGGCAAGTCCAGCCTTGATGGAGAACTGTCTGTCCCTTAAGGCACTGTCACCTGCCCCCATGAAGACCTCTGCAGGGGATGGAGGCTGGAGTGAGCCCTGCTCATGGCCTTGGAGGCTATTGGCTGTGGGCCAGTCACTCAGCTTCTCTGTGTCTGTGGCCCGCCTAAAATGGGTCCTAACCAGGCTGACCCTTGAGTCCACCTGACCCAGCGCCACTAGGCAGCGGCTGCTCAGGAGGGCCTGGCGGAGGCAGCTGCATCCGTCCTTGAGGCAGAGCTGGACTTGAGGAGGGGGCAGGCATTGGGGAGTCCTGCCCGTGGTGAGTCCTCCTTTCCACCTGCAGACCCCCGTCTCAGGAACAGGGGAAAGGGCGCGGAAGTCCTGGGGATCAAGGGGCGGACAGAGTGTGGTGGCCAAATCTGGCTGAGATCAAGAGCAGGGGTGCCAGCCAAATCCGGCCCTGGCCCAGCCTCGTAAGGTCTCCTGGGGACCTGGAGGCAGGGGCGGCCGAGATCAGAGCCAGGCAAATCCATTTGTTTGAGACACACCCACGAGCACCCTGGGTCTGGCCCAGAGATGGGAAACCCCACAGGAAGATGCTGTTACCTGAGGACTGTGGCGAGATCATTGCAGCCTTGAAGAAAAGGAGAGAAAGGCAAGAGTGAGGACTTGGGGATGGCCAGCACCCAGGCACACGCGGCCGAGGCGCTCCAGCCCGGATGACCACGGGGTTACTTACCGGCTTCGCCAGGCTGCGGGAGCCGGGCTGTAGGAAAAGCGGTGTCCACACGCTCTCATGCTGTGTCCAATCACACATGCCATGTCCACACGCTCTCATGCGTCTACACGCTCTCACAGTTGCTGTGTCCACACTCACACACGCCATGTCCACATGCTGTCACACACGTGCCGTGTCCACGCGCTCACACTTGTGCCGTGTCCAGACGCTCACATGCTGTGTCCACGCGTTCTCACATGTGCTGTCCACATTCACATGCCATGTTCAGATGCTCACACATGCCGTGTCCACACGCTCTCACACATGCCGTGTTCACATGCTCTCACACGTTCCGTGTCCACACGCTCTCACATGCCATGTCCAGATGCTCTCACATGCCATGTCCACACATTCACACACATGCCGTGTCCACATGCCCCAGCAGACTACAGAACTGGTCTGTGCAAAGACCAGGGCTGGAGCTGATGAGAGCCGGGGGGCTGGGATGGAGAGTGTGAGAGGCCCAGAGGAGCAGCCAGTGGCATGGGCTGCCCCCACCCCCCGCACACTCTGCTGCTTGCCCGAGGGCCTGGTATAGAGCTGCACCCCCAGGCTGTCCAGCTGCTGGCTCCCCACCTCACTGAGGTGTCTCTCCCCCAGCCCAGTGAACCTCATGCAAGGGCAGGTCTGACCCGGGTGCCACAGCCCCATCCCCGCCGTGAGGCCTGGGCTGGACCTGAGCTGGGACCCCACACATCAGCCTGGGGGGTGTCACACTGGGTGGGGCTGGGATTGAGGGGCCCACCCTAGTGGGAGAGCTGGCCAGGCCACCCCACAGGCTGCCCTCAGGCAACTCCCCCGCAGGTGCCCACTGACCCCTCAGTGGGGACCCAGAGGCTCCCCCAGTGCTGCCATGAGCATCCTGGAGCCCAAGGGATGCTGGGAAGTGGGAATCAGGACTGCAGAGGCCGGGCAATGCCCCGTGGAGGAGGAGGATGGGGCTTGGGCTCAGGAAGGGCGGGACCCCTGCCAGTTCCATGAGGACTCTCAGTGGGGGGCTGGGGGGCTCAGCAGGGGGTCGGAGCTCAGACAGGGAGGGGTGAATGCTCAGACAGTGGGGTGAGGGCTGGGGGTTCTCAGGCATGGGGGTTCAGAGAGAGGCTGGGGGTTCAGAGGGGGAGGGATGGGAGCTCTGTGAGGGGGTCCAGGGTGGCGGAGGCTATGGGGACTCCGTGTGGGGAGCCACTGTGAGGCCCAGCCCAGAAAGCGCTCGCTGGAGGCTCCTGCTTCCTGAGGGCCGTGACTCGGGTCACATGCCGCCTCCAGGAAGCGCCCGGGCCCCTGCAGCTCTGGGAACGTCCTCCCGACAGCTCCTGGGAATATCTGGGCACTGAGGTCACTCTGGGCTCCCGGCTGACACTCGTGCTGGCGGCAAAGGTGAGGGAAGGCCGGAGGAATGTGTGGTCTCAGGGCCAGGCCAGGCCTCCCTGTGTAGGAGAGGAGCCAGCAGCTCCACTCCTCCCAGCTCAGACCAGGCCGGGGTCGGGGTGCTGGGCTCTCGGGGGGTTCGGGATGGCAGCGGAGCAGCTTGGCTGGCCGTGTCCAGGGCATGGGGTGGGCCCGCCTGGTCCCCTCCATCGCAGGCAGTGGGCAGGCAGCTGGGTGAGCCTGTGGGCGTGTGTGTGATCACACGTGCGCATGCTTGAGACATGCATGCTGGCGTGAGCGCCTGACCCCTCACCTCCTTCACTTTCGGTCTCCTCACACCCTCTCAGGGACTCCTTCCCCTCCAGGTCCCTGGATTACAGGTCAGACCCGGCACTGCCAGGCCTCGGGACGCGGTGTGGCTGGCGTGGGGAGGGGCCTTCCGGGTCTGGGCTGCTCTGGGGCCCCCCCAGCCTCACCCCATCCCACCCCATGCTGGGCCATTGGCTCAAATGCAGCAGCTCTGTTGGTTCTGGGGCTGGACTTCTCTCCCAGGGGCCCAGATGTGCAGAGGGGAGGCCGGTGTAGGGATCTGGGACGTGCTGGGGCCAACCCTAGGCCCAGCCAGTAAGTCCCTCCCATACCTAGTGAGGAGGGTGCGTCCCTCGCTGCCACAGGTCCTTGCTGACCGCGTGCTGCCCACCAGGGGCCAATCACAAGTGCGCAGGTGAGGGACGCGGGGAGCCAGCTGAGGGGGATATATGGAGGTGGCAGGAGGACCCTGGGGTTTTGGTTTGGGCCACTCGGTGGGAGAGAGGAAGGGGACCCAGAATTGAGAGAGATGGGGCCTGGGGGGCTACTCAGAGGGTGGGCTGGGACGGTGCCTGTGTCTGGCCGGGCCTCCAGAGCCTACCTGGCTGAACCTGCTGTCCGTGCCTGTTTCCGATTTTATCCTCTAAACCAGACGCCCAGCCTGGAGCAAATGCAGGAGTGGAGTTTCCAGCGGGGCGTGGACTCCTTCCCTCCACCCCGCTCTCAGTCCAGCTCCTTCCCTCTACCCGGCTCTCGGTCCTGGGTCCGGCTCCTTTCCTCCACCCTGCTCTTGGTCTGGCTCCTTCCCTCCACCCCCACCTCCGTCCCTGTCTCCTTCCCTCCACCCCCACCTCCGTCCCTGTGTCCTTCCCTCCACCCCACTCCTCTCAGTCTGGCTCCTTCCCTCCACCCCGCTCTCGGTCCTCGGTCCCGCTCCTTCCCTCCATCCCCACCTCCGTCCCTGTCTCCTTCCCTCCACCACCCCACTCCTTTTGGTCCCGCTCCTTTCTCACCCTGCTCTCAGTCTGGCTCTTTCCTCCACCCTGCTCTCGGTCCGGCACAGCCCTCCATCCCCCTTCCGTCCCTGTCTCCTTCCCTCCACCCCAGTCCTCTCAGTCTGGCTCCTTCCTGCCCCTACCTCCCATCCCTGTCTCCTTCCTACACCTGCTCTCCGTCTGGCTCACTTCCCTCCATCCCCCACCTCCGTCCCTGTCTCCTTCCCTCCACCTCCTCTCGGTCCTGTCCTTCCCTTCACCCGCTCTCCGTCCAGGTGAGGCTGCCAGGGGCTGGGCTGGGGAGTAGCCTTGAGCTACATGATCCCTCCCTTTCTCCCCAGGACCAGGTGACCCTCCAGCCCAGGACACTTCTTAGGCCCAGGGCCCAGGAGCAGAGCGATGCTCCCCCAGGCGCTCCCTGGCTGCAAACCTCAGGCTAGGGGTTTTCAGGGACAGGGAGGCAGGTGTCTAAGGAACCCACAGCCCTCCAGGCGGCCGACGTTTCTGCCTGGGTGGAGGCACGGTTCTGAGGCAGAGGCAGCTCTGGCGTCCTAATGCCCAGGCCCTCTGCCCCTCAAGGCCCGTCCTGCCCAGCTCAGCCCTCTCTGTGGCCGGGCCCATCACCGTCAGCAAACATGCCCCACTGCTGGCCCTCCAAAAAGGCCCACCACTGTTGCCCCCTAATGGCCCATGGCAGCCCAACCTCCGGGGCACAGCGTCTCAACCCCATGCAGCCCGGCCGGCCCAGAGGAAGCGCCGTCGCACTCTGTCCCACCTCAGGTCGAGCTGGGGGTCGGGGCACGCAGGTCCCACCTGCACAGCTTGTGTTCAGGGAATGGGCCTGTGGCAGAAAATATGCGGGGAGTGGGGGCACCCCCTGTGCTTCGTGTGCTCTCAGGGCTAACCAGGCAGCAGGTGGGGGCTCAGCTCTCCCTCCACCCCCGTCCGCCTCCTGGCCCCCAGCACACGGTGGTGAGGTCGTGTCAGCCTGTTGGGGGGTTTGCTCCCGACCTGCACTTAGGGAGCAGAGGATCCTACGGGAGAGGGCAGCTTCGGGCAGCTGACTTTATATCAGCACCCACAGTGCCCCCACGTTCCACTGGCCCGGGTCGAGGGGACCACGGCAACACCCACGGGGGACTTCACAGAGGGCGTGGGGGCCCCGAAGGCCAGGCCACCTCGGATGGGGAGCCCGGCAGCTGAAGCAGACAGTGCATCTGAGACCACAGTGGAGCCCGAGCCTGGTGTGCAGGGGGCGGCCACAAAGGAGCCTTTCTCCCAGGAACCGGGAGGGACCCGGGACTCAGACACGCCAGGGCCGCCTGGCGAGGTCAGCGAGGCAGTGACTTGTGGGGTTGGAGTGTGGGGTACTTGCGTGGGCAGGGATCAGCCAGACCGGGAGCCGGGCGCGGGGTCCAGGCCCGAGGTCCAGGCACGGGAGCCCAGGGGAGTCCGGCGGGGGCCGCAGAGCTCTGGAGGACTTTCCTGCATGTGAATTTCTGCTTCAATACAGAAAGAGATCAAGAGAGGAAGCTACTCCTGCAGCCCCAGAAATGGCTGGCTGTGTGCCTGGGAGTCTCTGCCACTGCAGGAGGACAGCCCGGAAGGCGCGGTCTCCAGGCAGCTGGTTCCCAGGCTGCGTCCTCCCCACTGGCCCGGCATCGGCTGCAATGGCACGAGGACAAGCCTCACTGTTCTCAGGGGTCTTGGTGCGGTGGTGCTGGAGGGAGTCCTGCCCATCGTGGGCTCCGGAGGCATGGGGCTCCAGAGGGGGCACATCGCCAGCAGGCCCCTGGCTTCTCTAGGCAGAGTGGTGCCTGCCCGTGGAGCCACACCAACTTTGGCTGCCTGAGCCAATTACTACATCTGGGCTGCCCATAGCAGGCGCGGGGCCTCCCACTGTATGTTTCCTGGGGGCCCGGACCCTACTGACCTTGATCTGATGATGCTCTGAGGTCTCACGGATGCCTGCTCCTGGTCCCATCAAACAGACGGCTGTGGTGGGAAGGAGCCTCAGGCGGCCCGGGACCCCTCGGTGTCTGTGGCTGGGAGACAGAGGGACTCAGAGCCAGGGCTGTGCCCAGGCCTGTCCCGGGCGCTGGGCGATGCCAACCCTTTGTGCCGGGTTCCGCCAAGGGTCAGCCTCCCGGGTCCCTGCTGCCAAAAGCGCATGGTGGTCTCGGCCTCCAGGTCAGACATTGCTGATGCCGGGCCTCCGCGGGAAGGCAGCGGGGTCCATGGCCCTGTCCAGGGCCGCTCCGCCTGACGTAAGCGCGGCACCGTACTGAAATGGGTCAGAGACAGGCAGGGTCAGAGTGGGACCTGGACAGCAGGGTTCTCAGCCCTACCGGGGCTCTCGGGAGCAGGCATGGCACAGGCATCCGGGGCTGTTTACTCTGACCAGATGGGAACCCAGATGCCCCCTGCCCCGAAGGTGCCCTCAGAGCTCCGGCTCAGGAAAGGGAGCCGGCTTCCTCACTGCCCTGCATCCTCTCATTCACCCTGGGCCCGGGGCGGAGACGAGGGAGCCAGGCTATCCCCCTGAAGACAAAGGCGTGGGTCATAGAGCACCATGTACCTCGGGCGACAAGCAGGCCCTAGCCGAGCCTCAAATGTGACCTTATTTAGAAGGGAGCTTTGCAAGGGGTTAACGTCCGGTCTCAGGCGTGATCGCCCAGGGTTCCTGAGGCAGACCCTGAATCCAATGGCCAGTGCCCACCTGAGAGGGAGGCGGAGGAGAGAGAGAGACGCAGAGGTGGGGGAGACGTGGGACCAGGGGGCAGAGACGAAGACCTTGCCCCAGCCAGATGCCTGAGCCGGCAGGGGCTGGGGAGGCGAGGCAGGGTCCTCCCTAGAGCCTCGGGAAGCTTCGCCTGCCCCTTGGTTTTGGACTCTGAACTCTAGGACAGTCAGATTAAAGGTCTGCTGTTGACTGGCAGGCTGGGGCACTTGGGCACCGTGTGGTTTTGCTGAGCCCTTGCAGACACGGCTGCTTTGGGGCCCAGGCAGGTCCAGCCTTGATGGAGAACTGTCTGTCCCCTAAGGCATATCACCTGCCCCATGAAAGACCTCTGCACAGGGGGATGGAGGCTGGGTGAGCCCTGCTCATGGCCTTGGAGCTGTGTGGCTGTGGGCCAGTCACTCAGCTTCTCTGTGTCTGTGGCCCGCCTATAAAATGAGTCCTAACCAGGCTGACCCTTGGAGTCCCACCTGACAGCGCCACTGAAGCGACGGCTGCTTTCAGGAGGCCTGGCGGAGGCCGGCTGCATCCGTCCTTGGGCGGAGCTGGACTTGAAGGAGGGGCAGGCATTGGGAGTCTGCCCTGTGGTGGGTCCTCACTTTCACAGACCCACGTCTCAGGGAACAGGAAAGGGCACGGAAGTCCTGGGTTCAAGGGCGGACAGGGTGTGTTGGCCAAATCTGGCTGAGATCCAGAGCAGGGGGTGCCAGCCAAATCCGGCCCTGGCCCAGCCTCGTGGGTCTCCTGGGGACCTGGGCAGGGCGAAGGCCGAGATCAGAGCCAGGCAAATCCATTTGTTTGGGGACACACCCACGAGCACCCTGGGTCTGGCCCAGAGATGGGAAACCCCACAGGAAGATGCTGTTACCTGAGGACTGTGAGGCGGGGGATCATTGCAGCCTTGAAAAGGAGAGAAAGGCAGAGTGAGGACTTGGGATGGCCCGGCACAGGCACAGCAGGCCCGGGACGCTCAGCCCGGATGACCGCGGGTTGCCTTACGGCTTCGCCAGGCTGCAGGGCCGGGGCTGTGGGGAGAAAGAAAGCGGTTCTGTGCTGTCCTGGAGCCGAGCTGCCTCAGCATCCAGCCCAGCGCGGAGTCCGCGGAGCAGCAGGCGCCGGGGCTGTGGGGTCAGGCCTCACCCCCACCTCTCCCTGCAGTGCGTCAGCCTGGCCCTTTAGCCCTACCACATTCCTCCAGGAACTCAGAGTGCGGGGCCTCCCTAGCACCCCGGCGAGTCCCCTCTCCCCAGACCCACCTTTACCTCAGCGGGGACGAGTCACCCTCATGAGAAGCATTTCCCTAGGCTCCAGGGTCCCAGAGGAAGGGCTGCCCTCCCACCCTCCCAGGGCCGAGCCTCAGGCACGGGTGGCTTTGAGCCAGGGCCGTGGGCTTCTGCTGCCTCCATGGTGCCCCCATGGCGGGGTGCTGTGGCACTGTGGTCAACCTGGTTTCTCTTGTCCTGTGGCCACCAGGCTGACCAAGCTGAGCCCTGCCCTGCTCGAGGGTGCCCACAGGCAGAGATGCTGAGCAGGCCGAGGGCCTCTCGGTGCCTGGCTGGCTGCTTGCCCCTGGCAGCGGGCTCTAACTGGAGCTGAACCCTGGGACCCCAAGAGAGAGTGGAAGAAGGGGTGGACAGGGTCTCACGTAGCAGCCAGGCGGGGCTGCCCACAGACCTGGGAGGCCCCCAGCTCAGTATGACAGTCTGGCCAGGAGTAACCACCTCGGGGTCGATCTGCCGGCTGGACCATCTGCTGGCAGAGACCCCGCGAGGCCGGCCTGGAACTGTGAGGGCAGGTACCATGGACCCTGCTCAGAACTTCGCCCCCTGAAGGCACCACAGTCACCACAAGGTCTCTGCGGTGGGAGGGTCAGTGCCCAGGCCTGCGGTGACCATGTGTACAGCATGGTGTAGGCTGGGGTGTGGGCCCTGCACCAGCCTGGCCGGCCCTGACCCAGGAGAGGGGAGGGAGGGCGTGGCTGCCAGGAGTCCCAGCAAGTCCAAGCTGCCGAGCCACCTGGCCCCCGCTCCACTCGCCCCTTGTCATGCCCACGAGGGACGGGAGCACCTCTGCCGGAAGAGGGCTCCAGCCCG